TAGTCTTCTCTTCCCGTCATAAACTATCAAGCAGTCCCTGCTAACTCGTGACAGACGAGTGGACGTACGCAGGGCTGAGGGACCGAGTGAAGAAATTGTCCGGGTCCAAGATCACTTCACGTCTCTTTCTTCAGCTCAGGGCATCATTGTTTGGCCACAGGACAGGAACTGGCGTAAAGGGTACGATCCTGTTCCCGTCACTCGTTCTGTTTCTACACCGACCAACCACGGCCAACTAAAAGCGCAATGTCGAAACCAGACGTGCCGCGACTAGGCCAGGGCCAAGTTCGGAGATTGCCTGAGCTTTTCCATGAGAATCCGGATGGCTTGTCATATATTTTCAGACGACCGTAAACTCTAGAGGTGGCTGTGTCGGCTGCTGGTGCCAGCTCGATCCGCCTGTATCGGTCATTTCCCTTTCCGCAAATTCGGCGAGGACGTTCCCATGTCGAGGCCGGAGAACATACTTCTCCCATCCTCGCCTACCCCTATTTCCCCAGGGCGACTTTCGCCTATTCGTGCGAACTGAGGAACCCATGCTCTAGAGCAAGTTCGAATTTACGGTCTGCGCCGCTCGCCCCAACGTGGGCCTCCAAGCATCACGTAAGTCTCCTTCTAACCCTACCCTTTACATATATACCTATGCCCTAGGGAACAGGTTAACCACATCCCTATGTCATAGCCTACGCGCACAAGACACTTTTCTCATACATTTACTAACACTATGTCGTATATCAGGCAGACAACTGCAAACCTGGTGATAGCTGGCTTTCAGGTCCTAATAATCAGATCTAGTACCTCCTTACCTAATAAGGAGAAAGCCATTAATGACTTTAACAATCCCAAAGTACACTATAAAGTACTTATAATATCAATGAGCCTTAGTATGTATAGCCTGAATATGCAGTCGTGTTGTAGTAAGGGACTCATCATCTAATACTACTGGAACATCTCTACACTTATGCAGGGCGTAGGGCGCCTATCTCGCCTAGGGTAATTGGAACTGGTATATTTCCGGATTTTGAAGCTGCTTGACTTCTTTGTGGAGGACCAGGAGGAGGTGGTGCTCTTGCGTGCTCCCCTCAGCCTTTCGAGCCATTCCCGTGGATGGATATCGCTCGAGTTTCCGTTTCTGTCAATTGCCATTCTATATACTTTTTCAAGGTCTATTCCCAGGCTTTAGAAGCGTCTCCTATCCTCTAGTGGAAAGTATATGCGTCGCTTTGGCTTCGCTCCTCGGGTGCCCGGACGGATACTGCCTCGGGTCTGACAGCGCAGCAGACATATTCGTGTCTCACCAACTATCGACCTTTTCTGGTTCTGATCATAGTATGTTATATAGTTGGTAGCGAAGGTCAAAGTTGGCCTGAAGCGAAGGGCGTGGCCTTGACCCTCACAACCATCGACTCGAGACCCTCACATGCCGCCAGAATGAGGTTAACCTCGCCCACGAGCAAGCCACCACATCCTAAGGACTGGCTACGGCATCGGCTGTTGATCATGTTAACTCCATCGTGGCGAACGACCGAGATGGAGGCCTTAGTTATATGTTTCACCTGACATGTCGTGTCAGGGGCATCAGCCCCCTTACCAATAGGGCAGATATTGTACTATACACGATGTACCAAAGCCCCGTGATGATATACATCCTCCAGCTTTGCGAGTAGTGGGTGGTGGATGAGAAGGAGAGAGTTTTGATACTTCAGCGCTTACGTTACTGCTCGAAATTCTTGCTACCCCGTATTGCCAGATTGAGGTTTGTTTCTTCTATATAGATGGTTTACTAAGACAAGTCCTGTTCGTTCTGGAGGAACTGTGGACTTGATATAGCTCCGGCGACTGGATCTGGATGACGCTATTTTCTTCGCCGAGATGAGATCCAAGTCAGGAACGCCAACAACCCAGGGCGCACACGACAGAACACGCGAGATTCCAGTCCGCGCTCCGCTCTCCAGGGCTCCCCTAAAGCAGGTCCTAAAGGCCGTGATTGCGGATTTGATTCGGCAATTCCTGAGGGAGACACCATCCACTCTTATTTCTATCTATATTATGCATTATTTCCCACCTATGTGGGATTTATTTTGTTCCATGATCAGATAGGCGGTTTTGAGCGTCGTCGATGCTGTGGCGATGCCGTGGCTTCTGAACCTCAGGCACATTGTGGCCATACGCGCGGTCCAAAATCGGCAGTATGTCTTCACTAGATACCTGCTAAGAACTGGGAGTCTGGGGTGAGCAATCCGAGCCTGTTGTAATCTGGCAATAACGTTGGATATACTATGTCTAGCTCGAGGAAAGACCAGTGTCACAGAGAAGTGTGTTTATCCAAAAGCCAACTTGACGCCCAAAACTTCAACTTGCCCCAAGACAATGACTGACTTGTGCGCTTCGAGAACCCCCTTTTGTCTCTGACTCTCTGACTGTGCTCCGACTGGGCTCTGTAGCTGAGTCATTCGACAGCCAGTGGGGTACAATAAATCACCGACCACTTTTACCCCGCTTTTACACGTCAAAGCCCACCTTTTCAAAACATCTACCCTCTACTCTTTTTCTTCTCTTTCATCTGCGGAACCACTTTTTCCGCCAGAAATGGCACCACGAAAAACAGCATGGCGGGAGCTATCTATAGCCTAAAGGTCATTAGTTTGGACCTTATATATGCTTGGCTATTTGCAGTAGTGTATTGGGGCTCAGTTAGAGCTCCCAAAATCTACAGTTTGCGATATTATATGTTTGATTGAGTACAACATTACCAGAAATGTATCAAATATCTTCGAAATACCTTTGTGGCCAGGCCGGCCTCCTATTCTTATAGATAGGAATAAAAGGAAATTAAAACAGGCTGCTATTTAAAACTGGAAAGCCAACCTAGCATGCCTTGCAATACCCTCGAAATCCACATTACACCTTAGTCGTGCAACTGTTCGGAAATCCCTCAAAGAACATGGAATTTCGCGCCGTAAAGCACGGGCTAAGCCTGGCCTGAAGGAAATATATAAGAAATGATGCCGGAGGTTTGCCAGAATGGAAAAGAATACTCCCTGGGACTGCGTTTGCTGGTTAGATGAAGTCTACTTTTATAGTGATGGAAAGAGTGGGAATATCTACATTTCGTGACGCGTTGGTGAAGACTTCATTACTGAATGTATTCAACCAACTTATAAAGTATCTGGCTTTACAGTTTCAGCTTGGGGTTCCTTTATGGGAAGGGAATGTGGCCCTCTTGTCTTCCTTAATTGGGATATTAAGATAATAGGTGAGCGTTATTGCGATGAAATCTACATCCTATACTTCCTTCCTTTCTATTTGGCAATGAGAACTAAATATGGACTTCAGGTTCTTTTATAGGAAGATGGCGTACTATATTACAAGTTCAGGAACCGCGCCCTTTGGGATGGTGTGGCAGATACAAGGAGGCTTGCCTGGCCAGCGTAGAGCCCTGATTTAAGCCCAATTGAAAATATTTGGTGTGAAATGAAGCTCCGAATTGAAAAACAATGGCATAGAATCTATACTGAAGCTGGTTTTAAAGCTATTATTGTAGAACTGTGGGAAGGAATGGGGCCTGAAGTGTTTGGAAAGTATGCTGGAACTATGCCAAAATGGCTAGCTTTATTGAAAAAAGCTAAAGGTGGTGTGATTAAATACTAGTACTTTAGTTTATATAGAAAGTTTTATAGCTATTGGAGGTATATTGGTTGAGATATTCTTGTTTGAAGTTAGGATGTTGAAAATGAGGGTGGTCGGTGATTTATTGTACCCTACTGGCAAGTCCCGTGCCACCAAGGCAATGCGCTCTCTCCTGTAACTTACAGAATGTGCGTGCCGGGTGGCGTCAATAGTCCTCTTTTAGTGAAAGTTTAAACCCTTTACCAAGGTACTAGGATGATGTAATACCCGGAGACGCAACCTAAGTTTCCCTCTCCCGCAAACCGCCCCCCAGCTCTTTACAAGATTTAATCTGGCCTCGGCGTTGTATGCGCGTTATCATTTTAGTCTTTAGTGCTTGGCTCTTCGTCCTGCCATGTCAGTCTAGTCTCGATGTGGATGAAATATCAAGCCGATCTTGAAGTTAATCGCAAATTACTCCTTATCAGTCTTAGCAGGATTAACCAGGACCTACCGACGGAAATTGGTAGAGTAGTCCATATACCGTAAACGTCGCCCCACCCCTAACGCAATGCATAGCTCGCATCCATGGCTCGTCGTCGGTGTCCGTTGTATTAGGGTGCGTCCGAGGGCGGCGTCCTTCCCCAAGCCATAGTAAATCAATACGTCCGTCATTGTAACCTTTCCACTGCTGCCAAATAATGGGTATCCGATTTGTATCGGTAGATAAGAGCGGTGGAGGTGCTGTATAATCCAAAGGCTTTTCTCTCTTGGCAGCAGGCGTGGAGCCTCCGCGACATGGTCGAACAGCACTTCCAGGTACCGCGGTCAACAAAATCTAGGATCTGATGGTACGGCTCTGCCATGAGACTGCCCCGTGTTGAACATGACGCGATTTTAGTGGCTAGTTTGACTCCTTCATTGGCCGCCGAGCATGGTGATTGGGGAAGTTGGTGATGCCAACCCTGCTTTGGATGGAGGCCAATGCTGTTATGCCACAGGCCGGGTTATTGGGGAACGAATCGAATCGAGTCTTTTCACCGTAGCGTACGCTAGGTCGAGCACTAGCACTCGGGCTATCTTCCCCGATAAAGTTGAGACGCCATCGTGGATTACCTCTGTTTGCTAGCGTGCCACCTCAATCTCTTCCAGGAGGCCGAAAATGGAATAGGCTGTGTGTGCACCTAGCCCACCATGAGAGTTGTAGGGGAAAGGTGAATGACCACCTACCCCCCGGACTTCGAGTTCGTAGTGTTCTCTCTCGTCTATGCATCGACGACTGATGCCTGTTAGATACGAAGACTGTCAAGATCGATTTCGTAAAGACTCAGAAAGAAGCCATTCGATATTAAGCATCAAACATCAATCATACATCGCCAAAATCTGATATCATGGACAGAAAAACTACCCTGGAGCATATCAAGAAGAATTCTGCTCTTCTTAACGGTAAGTGCCGTCCCCTGCCTGTTCTGCGGCCACCGTCAACTTAACATCTCGTGGTGTTTCCAGCCTTTCTTCCAGCAGAAAGAATTAAGAGTGCCACGGACGAATATGACGGAAGGTACCGGATTGAGATCGAAAAGAGTGACGGAACTACCGAGGGCTACTCTCTTAAAGTAAGGAAACGGCGTCGTCCACTTCCCGCTCCTGCTTCAATTATTCTTGTTTCTAACTGACCGGCATCCTCCTAGATATCATCTGGCCCTGACGACGACGACCGCCTCGACGTCGAGTATGATTCCCTGAAACAGATCTCGGAACAGATCTCGGACGTAGCGCCAGGATTTGTCCCGAAACCCTTCGCGCGAGGAAATCTGAACGAACCAGCTCCTGGACTTCGGTTTTTTGTATACGGTGACTACGGCGAACAGAAAAACAAGCCTACATTCAAGGAATATTTCTGGAAATCACTGAATGCGATCCATTCCATCCAGGACGAAAATGGACTGTTCGGGTATCCGAGGCCGACATACTTTAGAGGAGATGCTCAATTCGTCGAGCAAAACAGCAGATGGGAGGACTTTTTCCGTCAAAGCATGCTGTACGTTCTCGACCGGTGCCAAAGGACGCTCAGTGCACTACAGGCCCCTCATGAATGTCTCGAGAATATGAATACGTTAAGGGAGCTGTCTTCTACCAATTCTATTTTTTCGACTTTGATTGGCACCCCCGAATCTGAAGGTAAAATAAAGCCGTCGCTAGTTCACGGCAACTTGGACACGTCGACCGTGTTTTTAAATACAGAGGAGGACCCCGACTCTGTATCTTACACGATTGTGAGTCCAGCGGTATTTTACGGCCATTGCGAGTGTAAGGTCTACCCCTCCTCCCTCGATGGATATGTCGATTCTACTACGGAAGCTTTGTGCCCTAACACTTGAGGTGAATAGATGACTTGGGTGGACTATACTGGACCTCCAATGGGGACTCATCTGAGATCCTGGAAAGATATAAAAAAGCCCTTTCACTATCCGACGAAGCAAACTTTGAGGACAGAATTATGTTGTACGCTGTGTGAGTGGAATCCTGAGTGTTTGCACCCGTCCTTTTTTTTTTTTTTTTTTTTTTTTTTTTTTTTTTTGGAAAGTCACCGTCTAATGACGGTTATCGCAGGCGATTTGGCATCCAGAGCGCGACTACCGCTGGAACGCTGGACAGGATATCGGGCGACATAGATAGGTAAGTTGTCAGTCAAATAGTCTACGGTATGGGGTGGAATCAGCGAACAAAGAATCAACGTATCCTCACTAACGATGCCTTTCTACCCGACTGAAAGAGCAAAAATGATAATGAAGGAACTCTGCGAGCGCCACGGTAGGCCATAGACGCTACAGGGGTCCCGTTCTCCCCGTTGACGGCTTATAAGAAATCGATGATAATTTTATGAGAGACGTTAAGACGCAGTGTGCGGTGGGGTGGATCGGATTAGAGATTTCCCGTACCGGCGAGGATGGAAAGGTGTGGAGTGGGTGGAGGCTAAGGACTACTGACACCTCCTGCGGCCTGGGTCGGGAGGAACGGCCCGAGGCTACAAAGGGCGGGATACTTCTGAAGAGTCCTGAAGAGGAGGCCAGGTATCTTGTCAATCGCCCCGTATCTCGTGTGGGAAGTATGTGCTGGCAAGGGTACATCAGCTCGCTTCCACCCGCGTCGAGAGGCAAGGGTCGGGGTCGGGGTTTGGGGGTCATTCTGTGGATACCCGTCCAATGGGGCCGCTCGAAGCTGCATTTCCCATTTCCCAAGCGCCGTGGCTGTTGATATCCCCTTCCTGGGACTTCCACGTTCCCCTGTACAGGCTCTTCTTCCCTTCCATAGTCCGCCTGGAGGATCTTAGTCAAAGGGGGAGGTTGCCCCAGACCATCGTTCGTTTCTTCTCGCTCGCTCATTTCTCACCTGCTTTCGCTACCCGCTCCACCACTTCAACACCCAATGCTGAACTACCCCTGATTAATTCTAGAGACCACGCGTTCCCGTAGATTCTATAGGGGGGTTGAATTCTTTGTAAATATATGTACATATTTTTTTTTCTTTTTCGTTTAATTTCTCTTCATTACTTTTAGTATCACTTCCAAGAAACACCATCGAACTTCCTTCTCTTTTTCCTCGACGCGCACGATCGGTTCCTGCCTTGTTGTGATCGATATGGCAATATGCCAACCGGCAAAATCGCCGACCAAGAGTACAGTCTCCATAGAGTCCACGAGCCCCCAAACCCTTCAGTCGACATTGTTTTGATCCACGGGCTTGGAGGTGGGAGTCGCCACACCTGGGGCCGCCATACTGCTGCCGACAGCGACGGCGGCCCAAACCCCGACAGCGACGATGAAGCACCATTCTGGCCAGGCCAGTTTCTCGCCAAGGACGATGATTTCGAACCAAACACCGCAATTAGCACATTTGGCTATCCCTCCAGATGGACCACCCCCGAGGACAGCTTCCGCAACATCGAGGGCTTTGCGAATAACCTCCTAGTCGATTTGCGCGACGATCCACGGATCAGAGAATCCAATACCGGCATCATTCTCGTTGGACATAGTATGGGCGGCCTCGTCGCGAAACAGGTCTACGTCTCCGCACAAACTCTCGTGGGCGACCTCGCCGATCGCATCTACGCCATCTTCTTCCTCGGCACGCCGCACAGAGGCGCGAAACTGGCTACTTCGCTCAAGTTCATCCTCCGTCTCTTTCGAGTGCGAAAACCGTTCGTCGACGACTTGATCCCGAACTCGCGCGGACTACAACAGCTCTACAATGCCTTCCTCAAAGTGGCCTGCAACAATAAGGGCCTGTACATCCATACCATCCTCGAATCGCGCAAGCTGCGTTTATTCGGCCCGATCGGGACTCTGGTGGTTGACAAGGAATCGGCGGTGTTGCACTGGCAGAACGAGACGAAATACGAATTTAATAAAGACCACCGAGAGCTGTGCAAGTTCCGGAACCAGGAAGACCCAGATTACCGTGCTTTGCGCAAAGCTCTGCGGAGAACAGCGCAGGAAATTCGCAAAGCACGTAGGTTTTGTTTCTATCTATTTCTTTTTCATTTTTTTCCTCATTTTTTTCCCTTCTTTTTTTTAAAAAAAAAAAAATCATGCTAATTCTTACTACGTCCAGGGCCTCCCGTTGAAATCTGTACAGACCTGCAGGAGTTTCTCGGCGCAGATCAGTCGTATGAACAGGAAAGGGTTACCAAGACAAACGAACGAGAAGAAGGCACATGCTCCTGGCTTGGACAGAGTGACGATTTTAAGAGGTGGCGAGCGGCATCGGTTGAAGATGCACCAGCCCTACTTTGGCTCACAGGCAAGGTGGGCGCGGGCAAATCCGTCCTCTCAGCGTACGCAACCACCCTACTCCGCAACGACGAGGGCTGTTGTGTCAGCTATTTCTTCTACAAGCACGGCGTTTCGAAACGATCTACCGTGGCGGATTGCTTGCGCTCTCTGGCCTACCAAATGGCCCTCGGTGATAATACTGTGAGAGCCAGGCTTCGAACGCTAATACACGATCGTTCGGTGGCTCGGAATCCCATCGATGGCCACCTCGTCTGGCCGGACATCTTCGAGAAGGGCATCTTTGCACGGTCAGATGCTGATTCGGGCCCACGGCACATATGGATCATTGATGGCCTTGACGAGTGCTCCGATGTGGACCGCTGGATGAAACTCCTTCCACTCTGCGTGAATCATGTGCGCATCTTCGTCTCGAGTCTAAGCGAGGGCGTGCTTGCTGGACATATCAATACAATCAGTGCCCGGTTACAACATCGCCTCTGCCGCATCGAGCTCCTAAAATCCGACAAGATAGGTAAGGGTGCAGGGGTGTTCTTTTGGGTTATTCTCCCCCAGTGCCGCCCAGGAATGACTGCCCTTGAACCTTCTTGCCCTCCTTAGCCTAACCATGTCTTTAGAGTCCGACATACGCGCTTACGTTTACAAGAGGTTGGAGGCCGTACCACGGGCTCCATCGACGATGCGATTGCTGGAGAGGATTTCGACCCTGGCCGACGGATGTTTCCTCTGGGCTAAGCTAGTACTTGACGAAATCGACTTCGATGCCCCGACGGTTGAGAGCATAGAAAAAATTCTCACCAGTACCCATCCGGGCCTTAACGAGAGGTACACTCGAATGACGCAGGCCATTCTTAGGAAACCAAACTACGCCGAGCTCGCAAAGTCCGCATTTCGCTGGATCGTGCTGGCGCCACGATATTTAACTATCGACGAGCTCTCCCAGGCTGTTCATCTCGATCTCAATGTCACTCCACTAGATCTTGGTCGCGAGTTCGATATGGTCTGTGGCCAGATGGCATTCTTGGACAATCAATCGAGGGTTAGGATGATCCACGGATCGGCACGAGAGTATTTAATGACAGAGCACGTGGATCCACGCTTTCGCATCAAGAAAGCGGAAGATCATGGTGAATTAGCCCTTGCTTGTCTACGGTATCTTTCCGGGGACATCCTCAGCATTCACAGGAGACCGGCACGACTAGCCTTGGCATCTTCTAGGGCGGCGGACGTAGCTGGCTCTGGGGTCTTCCTAGACTACGCGATGACGAACTTCTCCTTCCACCTGCGACAAGCGTCATCGGCGCGTGATGACCTGACGGAAGCGTTGTGTAAATTTTTCGAGACAAACGTCCTCTCGTGGATCGAACGTCTCGCCGAGACGGGAAACTTACATGTCATTCCCGAGACGGCGGCAAACATCAGAAACTACTTGGGTCGGAGGGCTAATCACCACGCTCCCTGCACCAGAGAGATGGGTACTCTCGGGCGCTGGGTCACGGATCTCATCCGCGTCCAAGCAAAGTTCCGTGACAAGCTAATGAAGAAACCGTGGGCGATTCGGACGATGATACCAGCCATGTGTCCGACATCCTCGGCTATATGGAGCTCCATTTCGAAAGCGCCGCGTCCCTTTGTGGTTACGGGTGACGTCGAAGAACACTGGGACGATTGTCTTTTCCAGCGAGTATATCACGACCAGGAAGTTTTGGCCGTGGCGCATGGCCGTCGCTTCTTTGCCGTTGCCATTTGGAGACGTCAAGTGATCATATACGATGCCACTTCGATACAGCAACTGGCTATACTCAGTACAGAAGAAGTCATCGACACACTCGTGATCAGTGATGATGACCGATACCTGGTTGCCGCAAGCCCTAGGAAGATTCAGGTTTGGGATGTAACCGGACAGGTTCGAGTAGCCTTTCTTAAATTGCTGTACAGCCAATTCTTTATCTGCTTCGCTGATGAACCCCACACGCTCTGCTACATTACCCGGGAGAGTGCCACGGTGTTTTGGTAAGTTCTTGTTGACGCAGCCTTGCGCATCAGTCCCCTGCCACTATCAAATTCTGCCGAATTGAGAGGAAAATTGTAAGGGTGTCTGTCTATTGCTAAACTACCTATCACAGGGATTTCCTGGAGGATACCAATCGCTCGATGGACTGGCTCGACAACTCAAAAGACGGGATACGGCTCCCGGAATTCAAAAAGCGACCTTTGCGGGGAGCCGTCTCGATCGATCATGACCTCGTTGCAATCAGTTTCGCAGTTGAACCTATTCACCTCCTAAGCTTGTCGACAGGGAAGCTGCTCGAAACAGTTGACAGAGCCAAGGGCAAGGGTGCGCGTTCCGAGACATTTGTGTTAGAGTTCAATCCCAACCCTGATTTGCACGCCCTTGTCGTTTCGTACGAGACCGGCGGTGCACTTTGCGTTTACGACATCGAAAGGTTAACACTCAAATACCAAAATGATGGCGTAAATGCTAGGGTTCTCGCCTTTTCATCTGATGGGCTTACCCTCGCTACCGGAGGTAACCACGGGCGCCTTTGCATTTTCGATTGCGACGTTCCGGATGGCGCTTCCTCGCTTCCCATGATATTCCAGGTCAAAATCTTTACGATGAACATGAGAGGCTTGGCGTTCAGCGATGACAACCTCGGAATTCTCGAAATAGGTATGGACTACTGCCACTTCTGGGACCCGCCAGTGCTGGTGAGAAATACCATGACCGATAGCCAAAGCGACCTGAGTCGGCCGGTGAAGCTCTCTCCAGTGGAGGGCTCGAGCATGGTGTCGTCGCGAGCACCACGAGTTACGACAATAGCCTGTTCCTCTTCGGCATCACACATCCTCGTCGGGAAGGACACGCGAGAAATCTACGTTTACCCCTTGACCGGAAAGGACGGGAAACTCTTGTATAAACATAAAGGATCTATCCGTGCGATAAAAATGAGCCTCAGCGGCAAGGTTGCCGTATCCGCGGATAACAGCGCCAATATTGTCGTCATGTCTCTAAAGAGCAACGGGGCGGAAGCTTCCGGATTAGCTATTGACGTCCTGATAGACAGGGTGTACGGCGAATCGGTTAGCGACGTTCTATTGAACAAAGAAGGTACGCGCCTTTTCGTATGTGGCGTCGAGGGTACCAGTGAGCTGTGGGACGTCCCGGCCGGCAGAGTTCTCCGCACTTTCAAACTCCAAGACAAATCGGGATGGAAAACGCTTTTCAATCTCGGCGACTGCACCGCCCAGTTCATGATTAAGACGCAGGCAGGACCCGTGAAGGTGTTTACTTGGTCGGACCTGAGAGAGGTGGTGGTTTCGGAGCAGACCCTTGATACAGTGGCCGCGGTTAATATCGCTTCGAAGAATGCGAGTAACCTGGCTGAGACGTTGGACATACTCACGCTCCTGTCCGTCTCCGGATCCACCATTCTATTTCTCGACGCGGAGATGTGGGTTTGCAGTGTCACTGTCAACCCAGACACGACGAATCTGCTTGCCGTCAAACGTCTGTTCTTTATTCCGCCGCGGTGGACCGACTGGGACAATGAGGTTTTATTCAGTGTAGCGCCTAGTCGACGGTTTGTGCTTTCGACGCAGCGGGGGATAGTCGTCATTCAATGTCCTCGGGATTTGCAGGATTGAGCCCCTAGGATAGAAAGGCGAACCTGACATTTGGTTGACCTACAGTATATGAGTAGTAGAATGGGAAGGATTGAAACATGGCCGATGCACACCTCGACTTGGAAGAAGACCACGCCTGCGGCCGCGCATTGCGTATGTATAAATGTACTTGGAACAGGCGGCTCTGCACTTTTAGAGTCCAGCGTACCCGGTAGAGGAGAATGTAACAGAGGCGAGGGACGTATCGTCGACTTTCACCTCACCAACACAGAGTGCGCACACAGACAGGGGCATCACATTCACGAGGGAACGAATATTTATAGTAATGCAGATTTTTTTTTTTTTTTTTTTTTTTTAATATAGAAATGGGATTTTAGCTAGAAATATATAAACCCTCCGTCCTTTTCTGGTAATTCCGTGACTTGGAGTAAAAGCTAAGAAGTAAACAGTCACATTTCGGTACCCCTTCACGCCCCCCCAGCGCCTCCAGCTGGCGCGTTTCGCTTGTTTCGCGCGTTTCGTTCGTTTCGCGCGCGCACTCGATCCTCTTCTCGCCGTCTCTTTACTTCTTCAATTTGTTGGTCAAATGTCAACCCGTTGCCTCCTTCGGACTCGCGCATCCTCTTCCGCACCAGGCCTTTGAAGACCAAAACACCGCTCGCCTCAACAACAGCGTCCATACTCCGGGTGCCAGCCGCTTCGCCGTCCACCTCGGCACCACCCGCCTCAGCAACATCCTCTGTACCCGAGGTACCATTAGCTGTGGTCCCACCAACTGCTGCACCGCCCACCTCAGCACCAGCCGCCGTTCCGCTGCCACTGCCTGGGGGAACAGGTGACCCATTCACGGAAGGACTCCCGTCCTGGTCGCGAGGCTTCGAAGCGTTGGAGGGGCCAGCATCATCGCTGCCGAAGTGGCCAGTCAGCGAGCGACGAGCATTTTCGTCAGCTGCCCCGTATAAGGGCATGACTAGAGTTGTAATTTCCTCCAGTGCCACGTGTCCTGTGCAATTGTAGAGATTAACGGGGAGGCCGTACTCGATCTTCGTAGGAGTCACGCGCTTAACCACTATGGCGCGTACAAGGTTGCGGAAGTGCTCCGCTTCGTCTGAGTTGAGAGTTGGATACTGCCAGTCGGGTTCTGACAGTGATACAAAATGGTCATTGGCGTTAACAAGGCCAATGAATGATTCAAGGTTCTCGTCGTCCATCGCGGTCCTCAGAGCAGCAGGCATTTCTCCATTATTGTAAAATATGCCGAAGATATCGTACCGGCGCGCCTTAAAAATTGCCTCGACAAGGATGCGAGGAAACTTCTTGTCTTTACGGATCCAGGCCGACACGAGGGCCGCCTGGATCTTGGCCCGAGACACGAATCTTAACCCCTCCGCGCTAGCAATACTGACCCGAAGGCTAGCCATAAGAGGCTGCCTCTGGTAGCTCAGGGTGGTGTTACACACGGAAAATTCCTCAATGAGCTCAGCGATCTCGATGCCTCTGAACTCGTTGAATAGGCTCGGTGGTAGGCGATCGATGAGCCTAGAGATAAGCCGAGTACTTGCTTTCGGAAGTGAGATGAGGTCCACAACCTGGGCCTGGTCGCTCTCGACAGTGGTGATGTCCATTGGGATGACTACGATGACCACAGGAACGTGGCTACGTGGAAAGACGTATGGCGGAAATATAGTCTAGGGTATCTTGAACTCAAATTGTAATCAAGTGAGAGGGAGATGGCTTTGGTAGACAGATTGTTGTATGAGTGGTGGAGATATATGTCTCGTGGGAGAAAACGGCTTGAATGAAATGGGCTGAGAGAGAATGGTCGGACAAGAAATGGTTGGAAGAGAGAGAGATGACTGGAAGGAAAGGAGATCTGGGGAGGAGGACAAGATATTTATAGGTGAGCGTGCGATGGTTATCCGGCTGTAAACTAACGAGGAAAGGGTAGCTGATGCGATACGCTTTCCGGATCCGGAGTACAGATGGCCTAGTGATTTAGGAATAAAACCTTTCTAGTAGGCCAAGCCCGGAGTAGGTGCCTTCCCCTTCTCGCCTAAAGAGAGTTGTACGAATCCCCTAGAAAGAGCCAGCCTAGTGTACTTTCTTCTCTTATACACAATACCTAGGCACATGCTACGGTTTATCGCTCCTATTAGTGACAAACTAGGTTCCTTTGCAATAAGACCAGTGGCGCTTTCCGCAGTTGCGGAGCTAGTGTGCAGGAAGGGGCAAGCATCTCAAAATCACGCTAGGAAAGGGCTCGACTTTGGTTTGGCAAGAACAGGCTTCAGTTGATAGACGCAACCTTCCCACTCGAAGCGATTCCGGAGAACGCATACTTGATTATTATGAACAGGAAATTCAAACAGTTAAGCCAAGCTATCCAAGTTCCCAGCAGATGGCTATCAGGGAGAGATGGCTCTATCCTCGTCACAAATACCCTCCCCTTGAGGCAACTGTGTACATAGGGACCCGATCCAGCATCAAGCTATTTGGAAAGGATTAAGTATGCTGAATCCGTCAAACAACTGGGAATGGGACCAGCTTTTGTGGAAAATGCTTGATATAGTGGAATTATATCCTGGGCTCATGTCGGAATACTTGAATGGGACGATCACCATTATCACGTTTGGCTCACTTACAGCTGTATTCATATCGAGGTTTAGATCAGATTTTAGCTATGGGCATTTCTCAGTTCGAGGTGGGGTGTAGTTCTTTGACGGATCAGGATTCCTATATCTAGTTTCCCAAAATGGATGACGGGCTCTGTATTGACATCCTGTTGGGACCGAGTGGCCGAACCTCTGCCGCCTACCGTCTAGTTTTTCCAGGGAAATGGATCCCCACTTGGAAACCTTTTCCTCAATACATCGTGGCTTTCCCTACGGATAACATCATGACGGCTCTGTGTTGATGTCCTGCTGGCAACATCTAAACCAGATGAAGGTTGTTCTAGAACAATATGGAGACGGTGCTGGAAGTGCCATCGGGGGCTTGGGGGAAGACAACCCCAATATTTTTGTGGTGGTCAACCTGTAAATCGGGCCATTAGAGGTTTAAGAACACCAGCGGCATCGAGAGCTGGGCCAAAGAAACAAAGTGAAAGGAGAGGTCTTCTTAGAAACGATCCGAAAAGCAAAACTAAGGAAAGTACTGCTAAAAATACGCGAAATCGGTCTTGCAAAATTCCTATCAAGATCACACGAAAAGCAAAAGGGTGAAAACCAAAAGATGACAAGTAAAATAGATGAAAAACAAAACAGGTGAAAAACGAACACGGAAGGAACAAAAAACCTCCTTCACAGCATTTGGAAAATCCGTAATGCTCCTTTTCTATGCCCATGCTTGCGCTGCCTTGGATAAACATGCCGGTACTCCGGCGCTCCTGGCGCCTTCCACCCACCGCATTCACACAACACTAAAAATCATCCAAGGGCAGAGCCGAGCACTGCTTCCCCGCAGTTAAGACAGGGAACGATCCCATCCATCCTCCTTAATCTGCTCAAGAAACCCCTCGATAGCGCGTCGGTCGGGGGCTCTATCGAAGTCGAGGGCACCCTGATGCATTGGAGTCATTTCATCCATGTACCTTACTGGTGGCCCCTGGCTTCTGTCCCACTTAAAAAAGACAACTTTCGTGCCGATTCCGACGGCGGCGTAGAGCCGGTTAGCGCCATTGATGTTTTCATGAAGATATTCACCGAGTTGCGTTTCGGCACTTTCCCAGCCTCGGGTCGTGTCTTCTCTGGAGCTTTTCAACTCGGCGATGAAAATCTGTCGTTGTCGCGTGGTTGTCGAATTGTTTGTGAAGCGCACCTCAATGACCAGGACATCAGGTTCATGGTTCGAAGCAAGGGCGGCTGATTTGATCTCCACCCAATAAGAACGATCGGGGGAAGCGGGGAACAGGAACAGCCGCGACAAAACCCAATTCCAAAGAGCGGAAACTGGACCCTCGGTCGTGGCGCCTCGGGCATTGGACATGAGTCCATTGAATGAGGCGGACCTCATGTTCAGAATTTGACCGTCAGACATTGCTCTGAGAAGGACTTGAAGAGAGATGACAAGAGGTACGGTTCGTCGACCCAGAAAGGTGTCAACAAATAAACGATCCTCCTAGGAAGAGCTGGGAAGAGCTAGGGAGAGCTAGGAAGAAGAGCTGGGGAGAAGAGCGAGATGGGGTTGAGTTGCGATCTTGTTGTTATTGGTAGTGAGAGAGTATGAGATGGAGAAGAAGGAGAGAGAAAGGAAAATTAGGATCGAAGACTTCGCGACCTTTTATAAAAGCAAGCAGTCGGACGGAGACACACATTTCGCCCAGCGCCGCTCATTGACGCCATCATGTAGGTCGGCCTCCTCGGCAAACGAGCATCCACTAGATTCCCTCTGCTAAGCGCGTATGAAAAACTTGAAACCGCAAATATTAAAATTAGAAGCATCTTCAAGATCCGAGAATAGCATGGGGACACGGGCTCTCGGCTGCCAGTGAATTAAGCGCCCCCAAATCCGGACAAAGGATCTACATCTCAGCCAGTAAAATCATTCCCCGGACTGCCACTCGCACGTGAAATGTCAAGTACCAGGGAAGAGTTTCATGGCTCCTAGTCATCCATTTACGGGGTACTCGTCTGCGCCTCTAAGTCCAGTCTCCAGCGGTAGCTGCGGGATGCTGTTTAAGATGGAGGGAGGAAGACGGGAGATGGTGGTAATGAGGGCAAATCTTCGGCGGAATTCACAAGCCCGCCACTCGAAGGCGGCGTCAATTTTGATGGCTGTCCGCACCGAAGGCTAGGTTACGTAACCACTCTCGGGCCACCAGGATCGTTCTTTCCCTTGAGCCAAGGGTATGGAGCTCAGCACTTCGAACAAATATTGATCCTTCCATCTCCAGCGACAGAGATTCTCAGAATAGATCATGTACCACTCATATTGCCCCATCTGTGGGGTCGTACTCTCTCAGTACATAGGCGCCCTACCTCCGCCCAGCCCACTACCGTGGGCCAATGAGGTCCGGGCAGGTAGGTGGAGAGTAATGTTCAGACTTTGACCAGACTCGAGTCCAGGAACTAACTTCGCCTGAATGGGAAAGTTCATTTGGCCCCAGGAAGTGTCGCACCATCCGTCTCTAGCGTTGGTATAACTGAGGAATCCAGATTCTGCGTTAGTGCGGAACCCTCAGCCTCGTATCTTGATGACCCTACGACCCTCGAGGTGTATGAGGTCGGTTCTCATCCAGCCTATCTTTTCCATGATGCGTGCTGGCACTTGTTACTCTCGCGGGTATCCGGCGTACGAGCCCAGAATACCGATCTTGCCCACGTTGCCAAAGTATTATTCCACGTCATACACTGCCTCCCGCAGGACTATTACAGCGGCCTTCTCATCCGACATGATTATGGTGGAATCTCGCATCTCCGTCGATCCTATGGCTACCGCAGGTCTGGCTATGAACGACAGCTGCCAGAGAATTTACGATTTGTTCTGGCCGACCCCAGACTTCATGTGGTTGAGGAAACGAGCGCCTCTCTCTTTACACACCTGCCCATGTGCACGTGGGAGTCATCCCAACAGGCGCACGAGAACGACTGCCATGTCCGGCAAAGTTTCAGCGGATATCATGACCCATTCAGCCATCTTCCCCCAGAGATCATTGACTTGCTACTCGTCAAACTCCGGACAGCTGATCTTTGCAGTCTTCGGCTTGCTTCCCGAGTAGTTGCTCGTCTTACATGCCGGGGCTCTTACCTCTCGCAAGCTTTCTGGGAGAGCCGATTTGCCCCCGATTTTGAGATGGACTTCTTCTTCGCCGCCCAGCCGCCGCCGTTCCCCCGGAAGGATATAAACTGGCATGTATTATACATGCGACTGCAGCGGGCACTGGCTGAAGGGTCTATGCCAGGCCTGCGGAACAGGAAAAGAATTTGGGACTGTCTATCCCACTTGAACGTTTCTTTGATGCCCTTCTTCAACGACGTCAACCGAGGTTGGCCGCCAGAGACAGAGTCTACTGGTCCCCAGCTACCACCGAATGGCTATCGGGCCGGTTTACTGATTCGAAGTCACGCCGCTCGCACTTATACACACCAGGAACTTCTTCTTCCACCGCTACCCTGGCCCAGTCCACTCCGTCTCTCCGTCTCCTTCATCCTGTTCAATTGTCAGCGCTATGTTTCGGGCTTCTGCCTTTCGTATTCCACTGGAAGCAATGGATCACGCTCGGTACTAGAAAAAGCTGGAGTCCTCATTCCCGAGACGGAGGAACACCTAGATTTGGGACAAGACTCAATTCCTCACGCCATCACAATCTATAGTACAATGGACGGTATTATTGGTCTGGAATTTTTCCGAGACGAGCACGTGGCGAACAAAAGTATCCTTCTCGGTTACTCTTCAGTCAAGCTTGGTGATGTGGCGACTGCAAAGTTGTATCCTAGGACACCCTCTATGTTTAAAGGCCTTTCTCTTGCGTTTGATGTATGGATCAACATTCACCAGCCCAGGAGAGTTTCGTGAACTAACTAGTCTGTTTAGATGTGTAAATGTGTTGCCCTGCAACTGATCGAATCCGTGCCTAGAGGGACAGATGACTGCGACATTGACGTCCACCAACTGCCAAGTGCGTTGTGGAAACCAAGAGCCCCAACAGGAAATGCGCCAGAACTCGTACGAGCTTCTCCCGACACTTCTGAGGAAGCTACAAGCCGTCCCTCGCCCGTTCGTCTTTACGTGGATTTCGGCGGGGAGTCCGGAGAAAAACTACCATTTATTAATAGGCTGGTCGGATTATTTGATGGCTACTCTGGGCTTCTCAAGGGCTTCGGTTTTATTTATGACGATGGTACAAGCTCGTTCTATGGGGACCAACCATCGGTGAGGGATATGAGCTCAAGCAGGCCATGCGTTGAAATGCCGTTCGCTCTGTGCGGCAAGCTGGGCGAAAGACTGGTGGAGATTCGAGTGTCCCGGGTCTTGTTGTATCAAAGTTGGTATATTCACCGACTTGAGGTATGACATTTGGTGGTCTGCGTGAGCATAGGAGACGTGTTGACTGGTGTTACAGTTTTCGACGAACATCGGATGGAGGTGTACTTTTATGACGCACTATTCGAGGGGACCGCTCGCCGAGGCTCAGCCATGTACGACGCTCAAGCCTGGCCAAGGTCGTGTCCTCACTGGATTGGTAACAGAATTAACAGTAAGTACCAAACAACAGATCAAAGATTGATGCGTAACTTTACTCACTAGGCTTCAGGACTATAATGGAAACTTCAATGCCATTGGGATTGTTGATTCACAAATAGATTGCCCATCCTCAGAAACTATATCGAGCGTTGACATGACGGCACAAACGGTCAAATTGGAAGAAGACAACTTGAATGTGGCTGCTCATATTATGAGGGAAGGCGGCTGTGTAACGAGTGGAAGTCTTCGTTATGTTCGCCGTATTCGATTGTCGGCAGGCGCGCCGGGACGCTCACGCACGAGTCGGCATGTATCTGGCCTCCTCTTTGAGTATCACAATAGCGAGCGTGACAGCATTGTCGGCCAGTGGTTCGAAGAGATTGACTCGATGGAATTGGGCAATGGAGATTATGTTGTCCACATCCGAGTCTGGTACACACAGGAGGCTCACCCTCAGAATACGCTGAGAGAGAATAACGGCAAAGTGGTCGGTATCACGCTCTCGACGTTGAGAGGGGTTTCCAAACAAAAACTACTCGAAGAGCCCAAGGATCTACTATGTCTCGATTACTACGCGAATCCTTTGGAGGAAATGGTCCGTTAATGTCTCTTCATTTGCCTCCTTACCTTCAAATTCCTGGCTAACTAACGGCTCATTTAAGTCCGGCCTCGTGTGGAGTTTCAACTATTCCTTTGATCACGTCCAGGTCATCCGGCAAACGGCGCCATTGACCCGGCCTCTCCAATTTGATAATACCCATCCAATGGAACCCCGAGAATCTCATGACCTCAGACGCTTCCTCTGGGCGGAACACGATGCAAACGGCAAGAAGGTGCTGGTGTCTACAATCGAGGCGTTCTTCTATGCGGAGCAGTTGACAGGGCTAAAGTTCATTTATGGCAACTTTGAGCGGTCTATGGGTTCTCTCAATGGCGAACGTGTAGCTATTCACTTGGCTGCCCTTGAAGTTATTGTGGCAATTGACGTTTGCGTTAGTGCTTGGTCCGGTCCCAGGGGGGACGTCTTAGTGGTTCGTATCGTTTTACGGTTTCTCAATGTTTCCCTTTTTTTTTTTCCCGCCACTGTTCTTTCAAGAGGCTAACAAGAGCATTTCCTTTTCCATTTAGTTCCATACGAACAAGCGCAAGAACCTGTTCATGCATCACTCGAGCACCGAAATGGAAGGAGGCCAACCACGACACTTCACGAGATTTATAACGGGCAGGTCGAGCGCGGAGCTACCTCCCAACCTCAGCGACCATTCCAGTAGCCTGGTTAGTGTAGTTCACGAAACCGAAGCGGATTTGCAGGAGTGTGTGGGTATCTGGGCCATGCCCGCGACGTTTCCTCGCGCGCGCCCGGAGGTTCACCATATTGGGCCTATCTACATTTAGTTGGCCAAGGATCGTACGCGTAATCAACCCCATATGATGAAGTACGACGGGCGAGGGACGTTAGAAAAGATGAACATCATTCAAGTCTGTGGACCCTACGTCAGAACAGAAGTGTGAACTTGTGAGCTTGCAGTGACATGAACTTGGCTGACGCGCTCTGTCGACTCTAATGATGTCTACGTCTTAGAGATGTTCGAGAAATTCGACGCACAACAGTGAATTCTATTAAATACAAGGGATGGTGTCTCGGATGGCCAAGCAGGCCCAGGCTCGGCTTCTATGGCGGAACACACCTTGCCCGTGACATCGACGGGTATCTTCTACTTCTCATCTCAACGCAGGCTCGGGAATCCAGCCAATCTCTTCCATCGGCCACCTTATCCACAACCTGTACACATCATCTAGCATCAAGTAAATCCGCCGCATCAAATGCACAGCCCAGCCTTCCATCCACCAATAACGCTCGAGTTCTCTCAACAACACGCAAAAGAATGCAAACACGCACAATGCATCGTTGTCGGCTTTCTTTAGAAGCTTCAAGTAATCATCACTGATCCTGAATATCCAAATGTAGAATCCCCTGAGCTTATCTTGGTCCCGGAAGTCCTTTCCTTTGAGGAAGCTATAGCTCCGCTTCAGCGCGTCGACGGCGTCGAGGAGTGTTTTCTCCTTCCAAGAATCATTGGCGTTCTGTGCACGGATATTATACTCAAGTTCTTTGAGGAATTCATGGTCCTCTGGTGAGTGTGACTCCCAGAAACTCACACTGCTGATTGTGGTACGGAAAAGGACGGACACAGGCGAGGTCAAGATGGCTGCCTTTTGCAGCTCAAACATGGGGCGGATACCTCGGAGTAGGAATAGCCACTCGGGTATGACGCCGTTGCTGACGACAAGAATGTCGTCTGGCTTTTTGGGGCTAGCAAGGCTGAAGAAAAGCGTGAGGACACCAAAGAGGAAGAGAGAGCAGCAATTCTGCGCTGTAATGCTGCAAACTTGGGGCAGCGCAACAGCTGAGGAAGCGGTGTGATATAAAACCGACTGGGAGACCAGGAAGTCCTTCCGCGCTGGGTCGAACCGAGCTAAATGTAGAGCCGACAGTGAAAGGATGCCATCGAGAACGTATTTGACAGAGAAACCGATCTGGGGAACATTGATACGCCAAAGATTGCGTACTTGGGCTTCTGTGGAAAGAGTGGAGCAGGTAGAAACGGTAAAATGGTGGAGGAGCTCAAGTTCGATGCTTACCCCGACTGTACGGTCAGGGACGAGCGGAGTTGGCGCGGTGGTCGACTGAACGAAGTCGCATTCGATACCACGTTTGATGCAATTTCGACAGCAGGGCCGTAGCTCATCACACTGTGATAGATCCGCCTGTCAGCAATCCTCATATGAGGCATTTTTATACACTAGAGCCGTTTCAGGGAAGAGGGAACTGTGAATAAACGGTGTCTAGTCATTTTTGCCGTTCTTGACTAAAACAAAATTGACAAAACGCATGCGAACTTACCTTAATCTTTCGGGATTTGCAGCTACGGCAACCCGTCCGGGATTTGGGATACCATCTCCGAGTAGAAGTTCTGGCAGGCTCGCGAGTGATCGGCATGGTCCCCAGGGTGGTTTCCGATGCTCCCTGGGTAGCAGTGGCAGAGCATCCGCTTGGTGTATGCGATGGGAGCGAGAATGCGACCGATCCATGGGAGATATAGAAATTGCTGAGCCACCCCCGGCACAAAATCAAGCCGACTGGCTGGTCAGAGTGGGGCCGGTATTTCTGACTCTATTCGACCATGCTGTACTAAATGGCGAACCAGGGTGTCGATAAAAAGCGTGATCCGTGCGGTAACGTAACGCGGAAGGAGCGAGAATGCGATGGATCCGACTCTCCAGTCGCCGGCGAAAAAGAACTTCATCTCCACATCATCATCATCATCATCATCATCATCATCATGCGACGCATGCGAGCTGAAGTAGGATAAGCTATCCATCAAATCCGCTAGGGGAATAATGAAGCGCAAGCACAGATTACAAAGGATCTTTGGGAGAGACAGAGGTCTCCGGACGACTCCGGAGGGCCTGCCACCCAAGATGGACGCCAGGCAAGTGTCCAGTATTTATATAGGGCCGCGTATTGTCGCTCTCTGTGACCTATAGCACTCTGCATCCGCTCTTCGCGTTCCCTTTGCTCTTCGAATCTCCAGAGACACAGAAAATCACCAAGATGTTCCTCCACGCCACCATCTTGACGCTGTCGTTGACCTTTCTTGCTAATGCAGCTTTTGTTGCGAGTGCGAACCGGCCAAATGTCGTCTTCATTCTAACGGATGATCAGGATGCGCAGTTGGGTAGTATGGACTACATGCCCTCTGTGAACCGGCATCTGACTCAGCGCGGCGTATCCTTTCAACGCCACTATTGTACGGTGGCTCTGTGCTGTCCATCCAGAGTCACATTGTGGACGGGCAAGGCAGCTCACAACCATAATGTCACGGATGTTGATGGGCCATATGGTACGGATATCCCCCTAAAAGAGACTTCTTGCTCGAGGCTGATGAGTAGTTCCAGGCGGATATCCTAAATTCATATCTCAGGGATTGAACCGCAACTGGTTGCCTGTTTGGCTTCAAAACGCTGGATACAATAACTACTATGTCGGAAAGCTTTTCAATGCCCACACCGTCCTTAACTATTGGGCTCCCTTCCCAGCAGGATTTGCGGGAACGGTTCGTTCTTAACTCTTCCCCTAAGTCGTGGTATTTCGTGGTATCGAACAAGTCTCAGCTGACTGTAAGCAAGGAATTCCTCCTTGACCCGTACCAATACCAGTATTGGAACCCGGGGTTCCAGAGAAACTTCGGGCTTCCAAAGACATATCCAGGTCAATATTCAACGGACTTGGTTGCGGAGAAGGCGTTGGGCTTTCTTGATGATGCTGTCAAAGAGCCTAAGCCATTTTTCCTCACTATTGCCCCAACAGCGCCCCATGGCAACTTCAATGTTACTGTCGATCCTTGGACCTTTTCCTACAACCTTACCAAACAAAACCCAATGCCCGCAACCAGACACCTGGGCCTCTTTACCGACGCCAAAGTCCCTCGTACAAAGAACTTCAATCCGGACAAAGTGAGAATCCCAATTCCGAAGCTATACTGGCTACAGAAACTTGACTGACTTGGCGCAGCCTTCTGGAGTGAGTTGGGTCGCTCGACTTCCTCGGCAGGACGCTACCAATGTTGAGGAGAATGATGAGTTTTATCGCGACCGTCTGCGCGCACTTCAGGCTGTCGACGAAATGGTTGACCATGTAGTCGCTCGTCTGGAGCAATATGGGATTCTCAACAACACATACATTTTCTACTCCTCAGACAACGGGTACCACATCGGCCAGCATCGCTTGCAACCTGGCAAAACGTGCGGCTACGAGGAAGACATCAACGTTCCACTCATAGTTCGCGGACCCGGAGTTGCGGAGGGTGTGAAACAGGACTTTCCCACTTCGCACACGGATCTTGCGCCGACCTTGCTCAAAATCCTCGGCATCCCACTGAGAGACGATTTCGATGGCTCTCCTATACCATTGGTGAAGGACGTTTCTGCAAATGCCCTAGAATCTGCGCGGAGAGAGCACGTCCAGGTGGAGTTCTGGGGCCTTGGGGATCCCAGCGAGAACGCTTACTCGTGTAAGTACCGAGTCCGTGTTTCCTATCTGAGCCGACATGGAGGAGCACTAATCGAAGTTTTGAAGCGGGTTCGGGCATCAACAATACGTACAAGCTTCTTCGCGTGATGGGTGAAGGATATGACCTTTCGTATTCTGTTTGGTGCACAAACGAGCACGAGCTCTACGACATGACTGTCAGTCTTCTGGGCCTGCCCAACCCGTCTCCATTCAATCCCTGGTGTAGAAATTAATTGCATGGACAGACCGACCCAGACCAAATGAACAATTTGTTGGCCGCAGATCTCACCGACAGCACCTCGCAACCCGAATCAAACACGACCATCATAGGCGTCACTATTCCTACTTTGGCATCCCGTCTCGATGCCTTGCTCCTTGTCCTGAAGACTTGCAAAGGTGACACATGCCGCAATCCTTGGAAGGCATTGCAGTTGGACGGGAAGATTACTAGTCTTGTCGACGCTCTGGACCCCTCATATGATAACTTCTTCGAAAACGAGCTGCCTAGGGTCTCTTTCTCTGCCTGTGAGGCAGGGTATATTATTAATTCTGAAATGCCGCTGTTTGAAGACCTACAACTGTCCAGAAGGCGCGGAGAGATGATGCTGAATGGCGCGGATCTCGATGGGCGCCGCTGATTTGATTTCCTGCCGTTGGGCCCTCCAGCGCGGTGGTTCGTGCAACGAACTCCCCATGGCCTGAGTGGTGGGGATGCATTTGCAACGTCATGTAGTGGAGCTGGAGGTCTTTACGGTAGTAGTCGTCTTTTGTCGGCTTCAATGCTAGGCTCCACGTCCTCTTGCCGTCCGTAAATTGAGCCTTCGCGGGTTTACTATCAACTAAGATATACGTGACGGGAATACGGGTGCTGTTGAAACGGCCTGGTGTGAGACAATAATGCAATGTGTCTCCGCTTGTCTCGGCAGCCGTCACGGGCAGTTTGTTTAAGCACTCATCTGTGCCCGCATCCTTGCATTCTTTGCATTGGCAGGTGGGGAATCCGGACGGAAGAAGGACTCTCCATTGTTGAGTGTCAATAAAGCGTCGTTGCTGCATACAACGCACTTTTTTGGAAGCAGGGGATCAGGTGTAGGAGGCGCCATTGAGTAACGGGGCCGTGATTCGTCGGGAGAAAGGATCGATAAATATGGGAGAGACTGGGTCGGGAGAGGCTCGGGACGGAAATCTCGTTAAGCTTGTCCGCCGAGGTTTTAAGCTGGAGACACACGACGACGTTCCTCAAGATATTGGCAAACAATTGTACGTTGAACAGCAGCAGTACCTGAACCATAAACGGAAGCCGCAAGTCGCAGGCGACCTCCCAGCTGGCCTCCCCGCAAGAGTTATCAATAATTATATTCCTGCTCACCCTGGCCAGGCGCCCGTGGGCGTGGGGGACTCGAGCAGTATGATAAAGCCGCCGGATTGTTTATCGCCGTAGCGATCATCTCCCTCGGCATACCAGGGCTGCGAGATGATGTAGTCAGGGCTTAGATGGCGTAGCACGACGCTGGGCCAGAGACGTGAAAGCATTTCTAGCTCAATACGAACGATCGTTGTCGCATCGGCTCGACAGGGTTTGCCCATCGGCGTTACAATATCCTCGATTTTGGGCGATAGTTCCTCGTTCCAGAAGTTGCTTGGAGCTAGCACAAGGTTATCCTCAGTTTGCTTCGCGGCGACTCTCTTATTAAATGTCAGCTTCCATTCCATTACATAATGTATCTAGGAGAGTGGCTGATCGTTATTATGATTCGCCTGGGAGCCAGTCCTTGTATAGCATGAATGGCAGGGCAGGGTCTTTCGGGGCTGGTCGTAGCTGGTTCCGTGGAGTAGGCCTTGCGCCACGAGGGGTTTGGCTATCGGTGCTTGAAACATTGCAAGGTTGACGCGCAGATTCGTTATCAAACCATGATCACCCGCGCTCGACTCACCATATCGTCATCATCAGAACTTGGCCCCTCAGAACTCTGTCGGTTAAAGCTCACCCTATTCACCACTCCTCCATCAACTCCACCACCGGGCCCCCGGTCATCCGCACCTGGCACAACTTCCACCCTCCTTTTCTCATAGTTTATCATCCGTGCGGGTCTATCCTCCCACCTACTCCGACCGATTAAGAAGTTCCCCAGCCAGGGCATGAACTCAAACACCTGGAAGCGCATAAAGTCTCTCTTTGGCTCCTTGAACACGATACCGAGAGCTTCGAGACGCACGCCGCCTGTCTCTTCGACGAGGAGGAACACCAAGATGAAGGCGGCGAGGTTGAGGCCGGCAAAGACCCCGAGGGTGCCGCTGACCTCTATGCCTCTGTCGAGGCAGGGCAATAGCCAGGCTAGAACACCTGCGAAGAGGAAGTTGACGGAAATTGCCATCGACGCGCCCTTGGGGGAAAGCTATCAGCTTGTTGCTAAATGCAGGGAGCAGGGAGGATCGGTACCTACTGTTTCTCGAAATGCCAGGGGGAAACTCTCGGCTGCAAGGACGAAGGGTACTGGGCCCATTCCGGGACTATACCAAATCGCATGGACTACATCGTGTAAGACGGGAACAGTTCATGAGAGAGCCGTGCCGGGCTCCAACTTACAATATAACCACCACGCAACAACTTTGATGTCCACTCTCCCGTAACTAACGGCAGCGGCCAGCATACCAACTGCCATCCATGGGATTGTAAAGAGCAAGATTTTTCGCCTGCCGAGGCTGTCGATATATCGTATTGCCGGCAAGCAGAAGAGGAAGTTGAGCATGCCGAATACGACATTTATGACCATTGCGTGGTGGATCTCCCCGTCTGTGAGTGTGTTACCATCCTGGGCCTTGATGAGCATGCTGCCTCCGTAGAAAGCCATGACGTTGACTACGTGTATGACAAAGTAAGTTGGAGTGTCTGTGTCAGTGGACCGAAAGGGGAAGGGAAGGTATCAACCTACTGCCTGATAGTTGCTGCGTGAAGGCGACAACTCCAGCTGCAATGGCAGCATTGCGAAGACGGCGTATCTGGAGAATTCGCCAGTATTTGACCACGTAGCGCCAGGCTGATCTTCCGAACCCTTGGAAGGGTGAGACAATCACCAATTGCAAGATATTATGACTTCGTTCAGAGCTCATTCGTGCTGTCACGTTCTCTTGACCATTGGACTCTCCAGGGTTCGGACCGCCGGACCCAGGAGAATCACTGCCTGACTGCGTGGCTTCACATTCATCAGGGCTTGGATTAGTGTTAGGATTACTAGGCACCAACCCAATTGCCCGTCCTTCCATATCGGACTCTTGTTCGATTCCTATGTGGGTTAGAAACAGGTCTCGGGTAGCTTGCATCTAGATTCAAGTCAGGTAGGTTGCACGGCATAATCGATAGAGACCATGAAATCACAAAATTTACCTTTGTGCTTTTCAATCTCAGCAATGATTCATAGGCCTTTTCAGGCTTGTAATGTTCCGAACCTGGCGTCATGTAATAGCGAAACGACTCGGGGCACTTGAAGACAGCCAGCATGAGGACGAGGGCAAAGACTGCGGGCGAACCCATTATGAGTCGAAGTTTGAGTTCGCGCCTGTCGTCACCCTGAATGCTGTTGAGACCAATGTTGACGATAAAGGACATCATGATTCCAAAGGCGACCCTAGCTGAGGGTTAGCTGTCGGAGCTCATTTCTTTGGGCTTCGGATGGAAATCGCAGTGTGGAAAGACGTACCAGAGCTGCCACATTAGAATGAATGACCCCCTCCAATAGCCCACGGCCATTTCGGCCGCCAATATCGGCGTGCTTACAGCCTTCAGACCCATTCCCACCCCTCCGATGATGCGAATGCCACTGAGAAGCACCCACCCGCGTGGAGGGTCCGTACTCCCCGGGGTGCCAAGCGGGATAGCGGACGAGGCGATTGAGCTGATGAAAATGAACATGGAAGCAACGAAGATTGCTCCTCGACGACCAAAGTAAGAGTTTATGGGTGCGGCAAGAGGACAGCCTCTGGTCTGGTCAGCGAAAAGGATTGTTGTCAAACGTTCCAGGATGCAGAATAACAATAAGTCAAGTAGGGCTTTAGACTACTTACAGGATAGCAGCACTGAGGTAAACCGTCGCATTCGCAAGCCCGAAATATGTCGAGTTCGTATCCGCCCGCCGATCGATCCATAGCTCGGCAAACAGGTTGGCTCCATTCTGACTGCTTTGTGCGAACCCTTGGAGGTATGCGCTTAAGCTAACTGTAGCCACGACTATAGACATGCCTCGTTCGGAGAAGGCATGGTCCGCCTCCCTGACGATGGCCTTCCGCTCCGCATCGTTAAGAGTTATCGGAGTGTCGCGAATGTCGGCTCGGGCGGCGTTCTCGTAGTATTCGCGGTTCTTCCAGATAGTGGCAGCAGCTTGAAGCTCGTCTTTGGATGGGTAGGAGCGGAGGCCGGTAAGGGTTTGGCTGGTGGACTTGTGGAAGTTGTCGATGGCTTCGGGAAGTTCGTTGTCACTTATACGCCCTGTTGGGGGCGGTCGTTAGCTAGCCTGATAGGGCGTAGAAGAGCATCGATCAACTTACCCAGTACATTGGGAATCTTGACTGTAGGTGCCATGGTGTATTGCAAATTGTCTGAGGTCCAAGCTCTAACACATTCTCGATGACGTTGAGAGCATGAGCATCCGAGAAGTATGGATGCGACCAAGAGGTCTGGACGCGAAGTCAAGGCCTCCTTAAGGCCAGGTTGTTGGTGCCCAAGAGAAGGGGGCATAGCTCAAATAAGATACAAACAAGCCCTGTCTATTCTGCCTGTTGTCGACTGTCGCTTGGCAGCCTGGCCAGCCAGAACAGAAGAGGATATGCCTCATGCGACTAAGACGCATATTTCCAAAGCGTGATGACAATCATCACTCGCTCGCTTCACGCACATACACCAAAAGAAGACTTGGCCGCATCCTGATCTAACCAAAGTCAGTTATTTGTGGCTGCTCCACGACACATAAGGCGTACTCGATTATACCCAACCACTATGAGAGCAACGCATAGAGTTGCCATTAAAACGCTCAGACGTTCCCCATTCCTCTTGGCAAAACAGCAAGGGTGGCACACCTATCAAACAAGCTCAGTGACATTCCCTCCTTTCCAGGCCTTGATTTGGGGAGAGATAATATCCAATAGGTATAAGTGAGCCGAACCTGCAGGCTATAATCGGCGGAGTTCGATTATTCATATTCTAAAGCGGGTTGCCTTTCTTTCTATTCTAACAGGTTCTAGCAGCTTCAATTTCTTCTCGGTCGTCAACTCTTGAGGCAAGCGTCTATCAACCGAGCAACCATGAGCGGACCTGACATCGCTGGGCTCGCGATAGCCGTTGCGCGCCTATGCAACGGACTGGCGTTGGGACTTTACAAAATCATACGGAAGGCCAAGAATCTCCTCGACGATGCCTGCAAAATACAGCACTCCCTTGTCCTCCTCACAAAGTCGCTAGACAAAGTTGGGGCACTCTTTGCGGTTTCGAGCAGAGCCGGCCCGCTGGACGCCCGAGAGGAATCCTTCCGAGACTCGATCTATCAGATCCTACACTCCATCAACCAGGACTTGGTAGCTTTGAAAGACAAACTTGGGCTTGAGAAGCTATTGAATCGAAAGCAGAATCTTTTGAAAGATATAAAAACTACGTTTAAAAGATCGCTTGAGGATGAGGAAATAAAGGAGATACAGGGCAGGGTTGAAAACTCCCACAGACTCCTCCAGACGCATTTCGAGATGTTGTTACTGTAAGCATTTCCCTGCCATCGGGAGACTGTGTGACAAAACGTATCAGAACTAACTAAAGTTAGGCTGTCGAGCTGGAAGACAACCGACAGGGTTAACGACTTGGTTACTATCGTTGAAAACGTCTTCACACGATTGCTCGAAGATGGCAGCAACATGCCAATGCCGGCAATATCCGGTCCGGCTCCGGTTACACCCAGCCGAGTAGAAACCGGTGGCAGTTCTGCCAATGCCAATAGCACTGTGACTCGAAATGCACGTAGAATTAGGTACCTCAGTGCCGTTGAGCAGTGGCGGGATTGTTCCAAGAGTGTATTAGTCGACTTGGTCGCCAGTGGCAGCTCGACGAAGGAGAGCATTGCCCCATCTATTCTCGACGGCGGCTTCGATTCCGAATCTCCAATTTCCGATAGTGAAGCCAGTGAGGAGGATACTGCCTCAGACACCAGCGAGCCGGCAACGCGCGAGGCGACAGGATCTGTGCCATTCTCCCTGGGAGACGGGACAGAAGAAAGCTTTCCGAAAGAAAATACCGATCCGCCGGCCCCGGAGAAAGAACAGTACGAGAGAGAATTAGAAATCGAAGTCAACTACTGCCTAAAAGAGGTAGATAAAATGATCAAACAGGAAAAGTACGCCGAGGCTGCGAATCACCAACAAGATGTCATCAACACTCGGATCAAGCTCAGCGTTTATCAGGAGTTCCCGTTCAGTGAAGAGTGTGAAATGAAGGAGACGCTTGTTAAGCTCCACATGAGAGCGGAAAACCTTGTGGAGCTCAATAAGGCATATCCCATTATTCAGGAGCTTGTCAGTAGGGCCGACCAGAAAGACGACAACGACCATGGTCTCAGAAGTCGGCTTTATCAGACTCGGAGCGAGATCGAATTTCGTCAGGGCAGATTTAATGAAGCACAGAGCTCGGCTCGGTATGCTGCATGTATCCTCATCAACGCACCCGGAAAGAGAAGCCCTGAAGAGAAGGAGTGGATAAAAGAAGCAGCCAGATCCAGCTACAGGGCAGCCATGCGGATTCCGAATGCCAAATTGGCCACTGTCACCTTTGAGTATATAAAAGAGGAGCTGGGTGATCCGGAGTTCCGCATTCCTGAGGATCATAACTACAGGAAAACTCTTGAATGGTGCAGGAAGCGGCACTTCAAAGTTGAGATGGAGGGGTTCGCCTTTGATGTTTGCGACGTTGAGCCTTCTAGACAGATTCGCGGATACTCTCCAATACACTACGCCATCAAGGAGAGGCGAATAGATATGCTCAGAAGCATGCTGTCTTATCCCTGTAACCTCGATGTCCAAATGGCTGATGGAACGACTCCGCTTCTCCTCGCGTGTTCCAAGGATAATTTCGACGCCGTCAAGCTCCTCCTCGACAAAGGCGCAAACGGAAACGCCAAAGACAATCTCGGTATGAACGGTCTTCATCGTTGCCAAGACGCGTTCAAAGAGGGATCGAAAATCGCAAGGCTTCTCCTCGGCGACTGGTCTCGATCGGGCCAGATTAAGGAGTGGACTCAGTATAATAAGACGGCCGTACACCTCGCAGCGGAGAAGGGAAATCTGAAAGTGTTGCAACTCCTCTTATCCCGAGGCGCTGACCCCAATGCTCAATACCGTGAAAGTCCAACGCCACTTACCGCGGCTGTCCGTTCCAATGCCAACAACAAGAGGAACGTCGTGGAACTTTTGTTGAGTAAGGGTGCCGATCTAGATAAAAAGGATGGGACTGGATGTACTGCTGAAAAGATCGCGCAGGAAAAGGAGATCAAAAGACTCCTAAAAGCAGCTAGGGACAGAAAAGCGACGCCACCGTCCCGGCGGAGTAGCGCAGCGACAACAGTAGTATCGGACTCGACGAAGCTATCGCAGGAAGAGTGTGTATGCCCTCATTGCCCGTACCATTCCAGATTCCCCGGGGAACCTGCCGAGCTTTCGACAACTCCTTCGCGGCTCTCCGAGAGCTCAAGGAGATCCAGCAAGCTTTTCAGTCGGTGGAGTCAGGGCGAAAAGATTGCGGACCGTACCCAACGATGATGAGTATTTGACGGCAATGATGTATTGTAGTATGAATGTGACACAGGATTCAGTCCAGTTATATAATGTGGCTTCTTAGCCAGTTGTTCTCGTTCTCTAATACCCTCTCTATGGACACCCGATGTACTTACGGCTAGACTCCTGGTTCAGTTGATCCCAAGAGATGCCTCAGTGACCATGTAACACAACAGCGCTGACGGTAATTTCGACTGGTTCCTCGACCTCGGTGACATAACGGGAGGCTTGGGCAGTCGCCCGAGCAAGAGTATTGAGGAACGTTTCGAGTGCGGCGATCGATCACTAACTCTCAAGGCAAACAGACAACCACAAGGGTGTCACGCACCGCCGAAAGGGTTAAAGGGATGCTCAAGTCACCCCTATGGAGATGAGTATTTCCTATTTTGCTTAAACCCTTGTTTATTCATTTGGAGGAGTTGATATTTTCTGCATCCCAAGATTCCGGGGATGTAAAACTGGGCCTTCTCCGGGGAACTTGGGCTGATAACGCAGCATTGTTCATTGTACTCTAGTCTCCCCACCCTTAACAGAGAGGTTGCGGGGAGGATGGGGAACGGATACTTGCCGGCGCCAGCCGTACAACCGTTCAACTTTGAGGCGTCATGTTTACATATATAGTGTGAGCCACCTCAGTACAAGACTACGGAAGGGCTTATTCGAAAAAGCTCAAAAGTCCTCAAGTCGCCAGGCTATGTCCTGTCCAAGACCCACTGGCATGCATTATTCGTGCTTCCCCGGACTTCGCATTGCTGCTCTGACATCCTCTTTCTGGACTAGTTCCCTAAGAATCACGGGGAATCACGAACTAACACGCTAAGAGACTGGGGCGCCCCGTACAACTGGTGGATCAATATTGATTGGTTCATCAATGTGCGTGGATTATTTTCCTCATGGGCTCTATGTATGGTAACTGTCGTCCCCAATATTGTGACCCGGTACGAAGTATCTCAAGTGCCTCTTCCGGCTGGAGCCCTATTACTTTCCTATATGCTCTTCCTTGAGCGAGATATTTTCCTCAATCAACTTCGAATCATTAACAGTCAAGGACATGAGTAGCCCAAAGTCTCCCAAGTCCCCAACCAAGACGCCGAAGTCACCGGCAAAGTCTGCGTCTCCCTCCACTGGGGAAGCGTCCCCATTAGGTGATGCGAACACCATAATTGAAGTGGTAAAAGAACCTTCTCCTAGAACAAGCCAGGCGGGCATTACCACCAGAACACCCACCTACTAATCCCTCTACCAATATGACGCCACACCCACTTCGATCCCTATCTAGGGAAGCGAAGCCGCATTTAACTACAAGTATATAGACCCGGCAACGACTACGGAACGGAATCAGGACTCATATAAGCGGATGGTAACCTCATTTCGTCTATATAAGCTTATCCTAGAGTCAGGAAAACGACTGGTAATTAACGCCATTTACTCTCTTCCCTTGGAATATATTTTTTACTCCATTGTGTGTAATGCGAATGCCCATCCGTGAGAGGGGCACCTATATATACTCTCTTTCTGCTGGTTGGGAAATTCCGGACTCAATTTTACGGAGACGAACGTTTTCGGAACTTTCAAAAATGTCCCTCATTGAGGCCATCTCGTGTTGAGCAGGTTCAGAAATAAGCGCGGGATAAATTCTCCACCCATCACTCACACAAAACTCTAGACCCGCATTTCCTCAAGCACAGTTGGCATGCAATGACCGGCCAGAGGCCCAAAAGAGGAGCACGAGAATTATTGTCTACTATTGGCCAGGCCGACCAAGCGCACCAAATACAGGGCCCGGTAGCATGGGCCTAACTTCCAGATTTACCATATATATTAGAGAAGAGATAAATATGTAACCAAGGGGGTGGGGGTGTCGGAGACCCCCCTCTGGTTGGGCCCCGGAGAGCCCCGGAAATGGCCTGTCGGCCTATAAAAAGCGGGCTTTTTTTTTTTTTTTTTTTTTTTTTTTTTTTTTCTTTTTTGATTGTAGTTTTCACTAATGAGATGTTTAGGCAAGGGAATCTCTTAGAGAGGAAAAGTGGAACTGCTTTGATTATGGAAGGCATGGCTTGTTTGCTTCGCCAGCAGCTACGCTACTAGGATCGTGATCCCGCTGTTTACAAGATAAGTGCTATTGCACTAAGTCCTATTAGTCCAGTGAGAGTATACTGATATCTGCCCACTCAACTTTACGGAGATATTTCTTAATTACCTTGTTAGAGTGAGACTAGAGGTGCCTCTTTGATTTTGACCAAGATATTGTCAGGTGCGTAGTAAGAAATAAGAAATAAGTCCTATCTAGGTGGTTAGAGATGTGTCCGGCGCCTTTGGGAGTGGGACTGCACCATCTCTGATTTACAATTCACTGTATCCAGGCGCAGAACTGTCCCCTCTCCTCGCTAAAACTCGCCCTTTTCACCGCCTGCCTATCCTATCTGTTCCCGAAATATGTCCAATTACCTACCGCCTGCCTATTTCATCCGCCACTTACCCATTTTATCAAAGTCTCAAAACCTGTCCCCAACACCCTGTTAAACACGACCATTGGTATGCGGGGGATTTCGCCCTTAATTCGAAATGCGGCCCGGAAGAAGACCACAGTAAGCGTGACCACCGAGCAGTCCGTATGTCTCCCGGCAACATAGGGCTGTCTATACGCCATCGGAGAACAGAATACGTCGTGTGATCTTCACCGTATTCGTCGTCCTCATTGTCTTCTTGTTCGTCGTCGTCCTCTCGTGTTCTTCGTCTTCCTCTTCACTATTAGACAGCAGCGAAGGTGGTGAGGAAAATATCGAGAGAAACGAGAATGAAGATGATGTAGAACCGTCGTCCTGGCCGCGAACTATCAGAGTGTTTGTAGAGACCAAATAACAATGGCCCATCAAAGAGCACTCACTCCACACAAGGTGAATATGGTCATGTGATTTCGATTCAGGGAAAATGGGGTGGAATGGCGAAACGTCAGCGTCCTCCGCTAAGCGTACCAGCGCATAACGTAAGTAAGCTTGCATAACAGCTGGCCACGTCCCAGATCCTGGTCTGTTGCTTGTGGGGCTGTGGCCGGGTGTGATCGCCAGACTTCGGCCGGATCTCACAATCACCTCCCGTCTTGCGCAGGTAAACTACAATCCACTTTGGCTGTCGACAATCACCAGTTCCCTCAGCCTCATCACTGCCGATCAGCAAGCCTCGCGAAACGATCAGCAGAGCTGAGCTCTACTAGATAGAGCCGGGCATGATCGACATCGACAGGATTCCATTTGCTTCTAGTCTCTCAGCTCATGCCGGCATCGAGATGTGGGCCGCGCCGTGGATAGCATGCAAACCACATGTTATGGGAATGACACTGTCTGCATGATGAGTGTGCTATTGGCCATCGCATTTCAGCGATGTTGATCACCTTGTGATGCTTTCTTTGGCCAGAGCCACCTTCACACAAACCGCGCAAATAATCCTCGCAGATTGACGTGTTCACGATGTTGTGCTGTCCCAAGGATTTAATTGGTGTTGATGGTGGTCCTGGTGAGCAATTTCCTTTCCTGCCTGTGACCAACAGCGACCAATAGTGACATGCACAGTTTCCTCATCTCGCTGGGGCGATCTTTGAGGGCGACGCGTCCCGTTCCCACCACCTGCAACAAAAGCTGCCATTCCCGTCCGCAAATAGTATCCTCCCAGCTCTGCAGCGCTTACGACCGTGGAAGAGCCCACTAACGCTCCTCCCTATCCTCGCCAGTTTCATACAGCAAACAGTTTTGGGAACAATAATCCACTAGCAACCCGCCATATCCTTCTCAACCAAATGCAGCCATGGCGAAATGCTGTCTCTTCATCATCGGCTGGAGGACAGGAGGCTGCATGCGCACCTCGAATTGTATTTGTTTGTCAGGTTGTGTGAGTACGACCCGCCGGATCGCCATGGTCATTACCCGGTCTCGAATGGGGTGAAGCCTATTTCTGACCCGCTGCCTGTTTTGACATCGTCGACAATTGGGACTCTATCAAAACATGGAGACAATTGGATTGAAATGGCGGATGCCGTCTATTCATCCAGTCGGTAAGAAACTCGCCAGCCACCTGCCCAGGTCGAGCAACCAATGAGCGGCATGATTCGCCCCTGCAATACAGCATGGGTGAGGTCTGCGGCTTCCAGAGCACCGCCACAACTTTCTGCCTGACCACCTAAGGGCATGTCGTCTCTCCAACTCCAAAAGCGGGGATCTCGTCGCTCTCGATGTTGATCACAGCCTGACAACGGACAACGTCGAATACTGGTCGGTTTCAGATGTCATGGGACGCGAGGCCGTGAAGACAAACCCTCGTGTGTGTGCTTCAGCACCATCAGCCTGGCCTTGAACCCCCCTCGCAAGTTCGCCTTGAGAGGAATTGGTATTCCAGATGAAGATACCCATGGACGCATATCCGGCTCACGAGGATCCCATAACTGCGCCAGCCATAGTAGTTTGCCTTCCGTTATTGCCGCAGCCAGTTTCACAGCCATTTGATGCATATACCGCTGGGGAAAAGTCCACTCTCGGCATTGGTCACCAATGCAAGTAGTATCGTGGCTCAGATACCTCCCAATCTGGTGAGCAAGGGCAGATTCTCTTTGTGAATACAGTTCTATTGAAAGCCAGATGAGTTGTTTCTGCTGGTCTAAGGTAAGGCGACCATTCTGTCTTTCAGAAACCGGGGGCGGATGCTATGAGTAATTCGCCGTATAGATAGTTCTGCGTAGTCTCCACAGATGCCCCCACGTCTTGATGCCAGTCAGAGTTAGCTCTGCTTCAATGAATCGGCATCCTTTACTAAAAGTTAGGCTAGGCCTGTCTTTAGGAGCGTAGAATCCGTCGAAAACCTGGGCCTTCAAGTATGCGGCTACAGTCATGTCAGCTGACGAGCGAACGGTTTTCCAGCTGGGGCTATTATGGAAAATTTCTCTGTTGATGAGACATATTGCTAAGACTGATAAGCTGAGACTTTGTAATGATAGTTGAAGGTTTTCGATATCTATCTGTATCAGATATTGACAGTAGTTGGCAATAATGGTAAGGCGGTCCCAAGGATCTTCGAGGCCCCTGGCTTGGACATTGGCCATGATAGATGGTGATATTGGGTGCGAGGTGTTGAGTAATACTGTATATTTTCCTTCTACGGAGAGGATATGGTGAATCTGTGCCCTTACCCTAGGCTGCTGTGTAGCTGGAGGTGGAACTGCTAGGCAGAGTTTAGAGGCTTCCTTGTAGAAGCACACAGATCGGATACACAGCTCCCCTGGAACGTAGCGAAAGATGCCATGTGGTCTCTTTTGCCATTCTAAGGAAGCAGGATGTGGGATAAGAAGGGTAAGGT